AAATTAGCCTTTTCAATTCCTAACACCTTAAAAAGTTTTATTAAAAGAGGTAAAGATAAATTAGAACATTGTTCCAATAACAATGTTATTTATAAGATTACCTGTGATGATTGTGAGGCCAGCTACGTTGGTCAGACTAAAAGAAAACTTGGTACTAGACTAAAAGAACATATGTCTGATATCAGAAAAAGAACAGGTTCTCCTTCTGTTATTACTGACCATCGTGTTAACTTTGACCACAATTTTAAATGGGATGATGTCCAAATTTTAGATATTGAACCGTCTTACAATAAGAGATTGGTGTCTGAAATGATTCACATCAAAAGACAAAAACAGGGTCTTAATAAACAAAATGATACAGAGGCTTTACCAGAATCTTATTCTCAGATTATAAACTCTCTTTCTCCTTCGTAAATTTCCTTATCTTTTTCACTTTTATTCCCACTTTATTACATTTTTACCCCTTCCTAATTTTCCCCTTATTTCCATTTATGGTTCCTTTGTACTTGAGATGTTCGGTTATTCTTATTTTAAATTGTTTATTGTCAACATCTTAAAATAGTCTCTCTTCGCATTTTTCTAACTTATTTTAATCATAATTGTATTTTGATACAATTTTACAAGGTAATTAATTATCTTTTAATTTAATTGTTACTAAATTAACAAAATGGATATGAGTTACTTACGTTATTTTGTAGTCTTACATTATATCCATTTCAATTTATTGCCTTGTGATTTGACTCTTTTACTGATCAATTGACTCTTATATTATATTCTTTTTGCTATATTCTTTTTTTATTAATTTTATCTATTACTGACATTGTTTTTATTATGTTAATATTTGATTTAGAAATGTGGAGTTTCACAATTTACAATATTTGATGTCTTGCGTTGTCGATGGACTCTTGGACATTTTACTCCGATACGGTATGTTCTTCAATAGCGAGTGAGATTAATAATACCCACATCACAGAATGTATATTCTTATTTTTTGTTTTTTATTAATATTTTTACTTATGTATTCGTGAATTTTTATAATTTCTTTGTTTTTACATCGTTAACGATATTGCGACTTAACATTGATAATGACCTAATTAAGGTCGAAACGTCTGTTTGAATTTTATTAAATTTTATATTTATTTTTAACTAATGACTGTTTATTACTAAGACCTTTGTATTTTAACTAATATTTGGCTCGTAGCCCTATTTTATATTTATTAATTTTATGAAAATGTTTTATATTACTTTTATGTTCATTTTACTCTATGACTTTCTTTATTTTATTTTATTTATATTGTAAACTGACAATTCGTTTTCGCTGATACATTGTTTCAATATACGATTTTGCCATCTTGTATTGCCAATGGTTGTGTAACGAAGAAAGAAATCGAGGAGTCAGTGAGAAGTGTGTTGTCTTAATATTGGAATAAGGAATTTTTGTTGAACGTCTGAAGAGGACTCAAACCAAGAGTCGAAACTTGTTACGACATTTTACATCGATCGATTTTTTATATTATTATATATTGACTGATATTCTAATTTTTAATTGTGTCTAAAGCTGTTAAGTATTTCATTGTATTCTTTTTCTTTTTCTTTAAAAATTCATATTATAATTTTAATGTTATAATCGCTTTTTTGTTTACTTACGAATTGACTCTCATTGTCCTTCACCTTGTTTTAATTATTATTTTCATATAAAGAGTTCTTCAACTTTAATTTTATTTAATTTTATGAATATATATATCATCGCTGAAGATGGCAAGAAACTATTGCCGAAACGTCCGGAATAGATCGTGATCATTTGATTATGAATTAGATTTAATAAGTATTGTTAAATTACAATTAACATTATGACTCTATATGCCTTTATACCAATGTACAAGTTTAAATACATAGGTTATTTTATTTTTTGATGTTTAATTGAGAGAGTCGTTAACGTGATATTATTTCAATATTTAAAGTTTTTTAAACTATTATTTTTTTTCTTAGTTCCGAAGAACCACCCGACCGGTGCGGACGCGTTTCGGATCGGGTGCTCGTTTCTTGTATATTTTTGAAAGTGTTGCCGACTGTAATTGTGCGTTGAAATCCTCGTTGATGTGTGTCCGTGGGTGGCTCGGCTCGGTCGTCCATCCTGACGCGCGTTAATGCGGCGTGACGACGTCGTAGACGCAGGCACCCGGTGTCCGTTCGAGTCGCGCCATTTTCGCGGGCATTGCATCATCTGTGTTTCTATAACTTTTTGACTTTTGTTACTCGCCGCCTTTGGCAGCAGCTTTTTGATATTGGCCCAGTATCGTCCCAGTCAGAAATTTTAGGACGGGGCCATTATACCAAGATTGATTGATTGATTCCACAACATCTTCACGACGCGCACATTGATCTACCGTTTTCCCCGACGCGCGATAAGCCGCCCAGCAGGCGCGAGGATCAACTTCTCGCGACGCTGTACGATAAACAGCGTTACGTCGTCCACTACCGCAACCTTCAGCAATGTACACGTCACGGCCTTCGCGTCACGAAGATTCATCGAATGTTGCAATTCGCTCAATCAGCTTGGCTCCGCGATTACATCGAATTGAACACGCAATTTAGAACGCGCGCGAGAAACGATTTCGAAAAAAATTTGTACAAATTGATGAACAACGCGGTATTCAGCAAAACGATGGAAAACGTGCGCGATCACGTCGATGTGAAATTAATAACTACATGGGACGGGCGGTACGGCGCGGAGGCAATGATCGCG